CTGGCGTAAGGCAGGATAGGTTCACTTCATCCATTTGGCCAATTAGATCGGCAGAAGGATAGTTAGATTTAAGTATACATGTCTTACCCATTGAGGCATCTCGTGAATATCCGCTGTCCTGTGATGGTAATTCAGCACGACCACTGTTAACACCACCGATGACGCCACCATAAACATGATGCAGTTGAAATAGGTCCCTGTCAAAGGGAAATAACCACTGTAGCCGTGGTGAATGTTACGTTTGCGAATTGCAATCCAAAATACAAACACAAATCACTTGGATATCTGAGACTTTGTGAAACTAATAATGATTCTCATAAGAGCAAAAAATACTTATGTGTAAAACGTGAACCATTTAAGGAGGAAATTATGTATGTATTTTATAATGTAACAATTTTTACAACTATATGTTTATTAAACTACATTTGAATAATATAAAAGCAAGTTCGTGCATTAAATGAAATAAAACATGCAAAGAATAAGTAAATTCTGCATTAAAAATGTCAAAATTCTTCAGTTGTTGGAGGCTTATACAAAATTGAAAAAGGAACTATCAATTACGTCATTGTGTGGACACGTAAAAGTAAAAATAATCTTGCTTATGTAAAAAAACTTGAGTTAGATTACAGATTAACCGCTCAGGGTTCATCTAGTTTTTCTTTGTAATTGACTTAAAACTATCGGTTGGATACAGAAGAAAACTTTCTTATGACCATAGACGAAAATTAACGCAAAACTGTAATTAACTTTATAACAATGTAAAAATTTGTATAATTATTTTCTGTATTATTAACTAATTCATGATTTATATTACAAATGTGAGCTTTATAAAAAAATCACTTGTTTTTATTGAAAACTTGTTATTACGACTTACCATTTAGTTCCTTTGACAACATTGTTTTATACTTAAACATTAAAGGGTTATAGACAGACCAGGCAAAGTAGGCTATCCGATGTTCGCAAGATACTTGGAGACTGGACCCTCTACCCGCATCCACTTTGATGATTATTATCACTGTTTAACTTTAACACCTCCTTTTAAACAACTACAAGCAAAACCAGTCCTAAATAGCATTAAATTCATCAACAGATTTTTAGTTAGGAGAGTTGTGCTTTAAAGAGACCTCTTTTAGTTTCAATTTAGAATTTGGCTATTTAACATGCTCAATAATAAAACGTTAGTATACTTAAAATTTGAGTTGTTCAAAATATAAGCGCGTATTTCGTAAAATAAATGAAATCAACAAAAAGAGGTGTAGACTTTATGAGTACAAAGGGACAGAGAGTTGGCTGAAGGCGGAAACGGAAAGAGGATTTATTTTGACACATTACAAGAATATAAGTATCAGACGCCAATCAAGAGAGCAAATTTTGGAAAACATTTACAATTCAGAGCGAATATGTAAAGCTTTCAATAGCGAATTTAGTGCAGCACGTCTATCATGTGTTGACAGAGGTTATTAAAGAACTTTGGAAGCATAGGAGTTTCCCAGTCTAGTCTTTAAAATGCATTTTAAAAATAGAAAATAATAACAATCTATGCTCTTCTTTGAGTTTAAATCATTCAAGCAGAAACTGCATTCTATTTATTTTTATATGAGACTTTATGAATGAAAAGAGGAATATTTTTTAGGTTTATCTTTGGCAACGTCACGCATGTCTTACTCTTGTTAACATAAATAATATCCCTCACAATTCATTCAGTCATTTTGCTTTAAATCAGGCTATTCACAACAGTGAGTCGAATTATTTATCGTTTCTTATTTAGTTGCAGACATTTTTGCTATAAACGCGAGTTTCTCACCTATTAGAGGGATCGCCTCTGAGGTTTTTGTGATGACGTGTCCCACCAATAGAGAGAAAACTGTTTGCGACAGGAGAATTGTTACACCTGTAAAGATCAACACAACATTTCATAAAAAGAGAGTGTTCTAGAAACTGTATAACCTTATGCCCTCAAAATCTTTTCGTCCAAACAAAAGTGAAACATTTGGACGGAGACGTTATATCCTGTTTGTGTGCTGAGTTGGTTACAGGGGCTTAAGAGAAAACATAAACAAAACAAAAACGAGTAACCATGCAAACACAATTTTATATATTTTTTAATAATAATAATAATGTTATTAATTACCTTATTTACGCGGAACGACACAGATATTTAGGTAGTTATTTATAATTACACCACCCACCCTCCAAGTATCTAGGACACCGCTCGAAGAGTTTGCAATAAATAAATCTTAGAAATAGACAAAAGCATTAACATTCAAATAAAAATAACACATATTTTGCACCATGACATCGATTTCCTCTTTCTATGGTCATTTATAGAAATAGAAGAAAATAGTGAAACATTTAAAAGTGCTGAATACGAAGAACTTACCTTTATGATTCCACAAATAATGTCAAAGCATTGATATATTTAAGAATTGAAATTACATGCCATGCCAACAAATTCAATAGAAGCTTCAATTGCGTAAGTAAATCATTATTTTAAAATAATTTTATCTTCATTTTTCTTAAATCGTTATATACATAACATACATGTATCTATACAGCTTTCAAATAAATAACTGAAATTTTGATTTCACGGTATCGACTCGCAAAGTTAAAGCAATTAAATCAATTAAACTATACTTTATAAAATAATTAAGGCAAAAGCAGAAGTGTTAGCATTAAGAGCACGTGTAAGGTATGTGTTATTTTTTTGGTTTCTAAAATTTGTCAATTCAAAAATACTATTCGAAGAGTTATTTACTATACTTAATTTACTCCTTGTAATGTTTTAAAACATGATTTTATGTATTTATTGAATTTTAAACGAAACAAAATTATAGCGTTGAATTGAAACAATATTTTATTTATAACGTATAGTAAAATAATATAAAGGTGAGAATAGAAAAACAACAAAGGCACGATTCGAACGGAACAAAATGGGATACAGTGGGAGACGGTACAAAAGGCAAAGGTCGGGTGTGGGTAGTGTACCTAACAGGGGTATTGCATCGGAGACCTGCGGCAGGGTCTCGGCAACCAAGTTGAGGAACACCGTCAGCGAGAGTAGTATAGTGACTCCTGAAATCAAACACACATTTAACCCCATCGGGTCCTACCGATATACACCCCGAGAAAGTTAGCAAACTATAATATCGTATCATCTTTTTTTTATGTGAAAAGTTTCCAAGCGAGCAGGCGGTTCACCTGATGTTAAGTGAATACCGCCATCTGCTACACCCGAGAGTTGCAGATGTGTTGACAACCCTTTGAAGATTGGGAATCTGACAAATCTCGGCGAACTTCAGAACCTATCTATCGCAGACGGATGTTCGTATGGCATTGACTAAGGTCAATTTAGTGATGACACTACGATCTATGATCGTATTAACTGACCGGATTGTCCCTAATGCAATAATCTAGGGAAATTAAAAGTAATAGTGTGTACTAGCATGAATACAAAATGATAAAAACAACATCTAGTCTAGGATGTGCTCGATGCTCCCGTTTGATGGGAAAATGAGTGAAAACGTCAGCACACCAACGAACAGGACGTCAAATAAAGTAAAATGAACCCAAACTTCATTCAAGTAACACCGTTAGGTACTAATGTATCGTGCATTTACTGCTGATCTCGTGTAATACCTATAAGTGGGATGGCGTCCGAAGTTGTAGGCATTTTTTCAGCCACCAGGTTGAGAAAAACGGTTAACGACAACAGAATCGTTACACCTGTCGGCACAAATGGAAAAGAAACAAATCAAAAGGAAATAACTTCTTTCCGTATAAGTACCCTATGTTTCAGAAGGTAAAATGGAAACACCCAGTCAGAAAATCAACTTATCGGGAAGCACATATGCACCATTTAAGACAAGCTTAGTAATAATTTATTTTTGAAAATCCTGCTTCAATGATAATATAAATATATATAATAATTCTTATTTAGACCGTACCGGAATAGGAACAAATAATTAATGATATTTGTATAAGTTTTGTTTTGAGTTTCTTCGGCTAATTTTAGTCCCAAAGTTCTGATATTACGTGAGGTAGCTATCATGCCAATATGTATAAACATTCGAGAAATTGAGCAGCTATGCACTGTAATTTACAGTGTAAAGTAAATACACTGCGCTTACATTTTATGCATGCGTCACACACAGAATTTGAAATTCTAAAGCAAATTTTCATTCAAGAGTGACCCCGATGAGGCTCCGATTTCCCTTGAAAAGATTGAATACTGCTGATATGCAAAGTGAAATAATAATATTTATTTCACTTTGACTGACTTTAACTCTCAACGATCTATTTATAACATTTTTTTTTATATAATAAAAATAATATCAAATTAATATTTAATACACGTGAACATAGATGATTTGATTTGAAAATACTCTCACCCAACACAACACTCGTTAAAAAATTACCTGTAATTTTTTGTATTAAATATAAAGTACCTTCCTTAAAGTGACCTTGCTATATGTTTATAAGAGATAGCAGATTTTGTTATGATTTTCCTTTCCTCCAAGCTGTACAAACCTGCATTTCTAAGCTTTAACACAATAATTAGTAAATAATAATGAACAACGATTTATTAGTTAAAGTCACTTCTCTCCTTAATCGCCAGTGAATTTAATGTAAATGTATTCACTTATAATAATTAATTAAATATTGACAAACAAGGAATGACGACATGAGCAAATGTGCGGGAAGTCGATGGATGCAGATGGCTCAGGATCTTACTTCGTGGCAGTCTATGGGGGAGGCCTTTGTTCAGCAGTGGACTCAGACAGGCTGAAATGATGATGATGATGAAACAAGGAATGGGAGCTAAGTGGCTGTAGGTAAAAAGAAACTTATAACTGACCGAGCGTCAATTTCTCCCCAGAGTCCGGAGGCAGCGTGAAGCCGAGGAGTGCCATTGACGAGATCAGCACACAAGGCACAATCAGGTTGAAAAAGTAGTACAAAGTCCTTCTCCGGATCATGATCGTGAAGGTCACATCAACGTAGGGCTCCGGGCAGCACGCATACGTTATAGTGTTCTTTTTACCAGGCATCCCTGAAACAAACACTTGAATAACCACTGAAAATTTTGGAAAAAAAAACGATATATATATCAAAAATACAATGAACATTATTTGAAAGCATTGCTATACATATTATCTTATGTGGTAACGTCAAAATATGCTTTACTACAAAATAAGTTTGTCTGTTGTTATTTGTCTTTCACATATTTATGGTAGCATTTTTTAATGTGAAAAGTTGCCAAACGAGCTGACGGTTCACCTGATGTTAAGTGAATACCGCCGCCCATGGACATCTGCTATACCAGAGGGTTCGCTGATGCGTTGAGAACCTTTTTGGAAATTAGGCTCCGGCTACCTCACTCACTAGACGAAACGCGAAAGTATTTGTCATACTTCCACTTTACGCCGGTCTTCTGTGAGGATGTGGTACTTACCCGGGCGAGCCTGCCCATTCGTGCAACAGCCGAGGCTACTGCGTGGCTCTACCACCGTTACCAGCCCAAACTTAGATAAATACTGAATCAACTCATAATTACGACCTATGATGCCTAAAAAATTACTAAACCAACTCATGATATCATCCTATAATATATAATGCGCAGCATATTAAATATTTCTTAAGTACAGATGAACTGTACTTAACTTGAACTTTTAACCCAATATTCTAAATTAGTGGAAATCATGAGGTTTTTTAAACTTACCTATGAGGTACCACTCTCCGTTTGTAATAAAATCTGATAGATCCCCTCCGGCTTCGTCTTTAAGCACCAGATCCAACTGTCAGATTAAATTAAAGTGCAAACACATATTAACACATAATAATTGAATTATATATCCTGCAAGTAACTATTACTAGGCAAATACATTTTATTAGGCATGCATGAAAAAACCGTTTAAAACATCAAAGACAAAATCATCAAAATCAACATCAAAAACGTGTAAGCAAAATCAATAGAACCGAGATACATATAACTTTGTTTGAGACATGGCAGGTCTATGTCTCAAACAAATATGAATAACATTTACAAATACGGAAATGTGAGCGACTAATGAAATAATACAAAGGAATGGAAATGGAAAGAAAAGGAAGCGCTGTAAAACACGAAAATGAAAAGAAAGTAATGTATAAAGAAATTCATTACCACCATACGGAAAATACGCGAGCATTTTTGTTTTCTATACATGATCATTTAAACGAAAATAACGTGTTAATGAAAACAGCAAATCGAAATTACAACGCAAAAGAAACATGCATACACTTACTTCAAATCTTCTTAATAATTCCTTTACAAAAAACAGAAACCAATAGTAGCCTATCTTTAAATTTTATGAGTGAATTATATTTTCTGAAATGTGTTTTAAATTTGTAAATTCTACATACAAAAATAATATTATATTAAGAGTAGAAATTTCTGGCAATTGAAGGACAGAATATTAAATTGATACAAACATAAAATGGAGATGACTGTCATACAATCAAAGCACTGTTAAAATGTTTTTTATCAGAACTCTTTTGTTTAAAAATAAGTCATAATACTTGGCCTACCATAATTACTGTAATTATATCATAACTTATAGATATCACCCCGATACCGTGTGAATGAATAACATCCATGAATGTGTTGTAGCATTTGAAGACGTAAGCAGACCAAATTATAACTACATAAAACATGCAGATTGCTTATTGATGAATAAACAAAGGATCACGAAATATTTCAGATAATTTTACATCGAATCCAATTGATATGATACTGTAAAGATCCAGTGAAAATTCTATTTTCTGTTGTTTGTTTTTGTTATGAAAATCGAGTTGTTTTCAATTTTTTTTTTTTTTTTGATCCAAAGAAGGCTACTGTATTTTCTTTAAAAAAATACAAATTAAATATATTATATAATGTTAGCTATAACTTGAATCGAGAAAAACAGCAAAGACATCTAACTGATACGGGGTGGTTAGAGTCAGCTTTAGGTCAGACAAGATATGACAATAATAACTGATGTTCATCAACAATTTTAATAGACTACATTTGACACGGTCAAAGATTTTCTAGAAATCTAGAATTTTCATGGGGAATTTACAATAAATTTGCCATCGGAAGCTGTTTTCTGTCAACAAAAGAACAAGTAAATATCTATTTAGATGGTGACGATATCATCATGAATTTTAAAGCGGATCCGTATGGCAGTTAATGGATTGTGTCATTCCATACTTTCAGTTCGATAGTGTGAGAGTAGGAATAAAATTTAACTAGCACCATGCAAAATAGTACATACAAAACTTTTGGGATACTTTATATCCTTTTGGTTTCTCACATGGTTCCCGTTTTCCCTAGCAACATGTCTAATTCTATTGGCATTGTAGCAATCGAGCAAAAAGTAATCCATTGAATAATGGTCAAGTGAACCATAATTCTCTAGTTAGTTTAATAATAATCGTAAGAATTAATTTTAAAATTTCCTTCGGATTACAACTGGAGATTATATCTGATTATATCTATATTACACATTTGTTTATTAAAATTCGTTTTCTCGTTGTTAATATTTCAAGAGGTTAATCCTCTTGAAATATTAATATCCTCTTAAATTTTTCGTTATCATCAAATTGAAATTTGTTTACTTTTTGATATCCAACCAACGGGCTGTACCTGGTTGCCATCGTAGGTCCAACTACCGAACTTCATGTCACAATGTTGATCGTCGAAGGGGAACCAAGTGATGTCTATCTTGCATGTGCTCTTGAAAATGCCCGGGGGCACGTACAGGCAACTGCCGTTGCTTCTGACCACCACGTTCGTCTGGTACGTCCCGTCAAAACCCTCGTCAGCACTATACCAATAAGAAAACCGTCATAAAGATATGACGTCGTGATCAATCAATGGATAATCTGTCAAACCAAAGCCTTTTGATATTGACATTATAAATAAGGGAACACATTTGTTTTATGATATATTATCCGTAGATTTACTACTCAATGCCAGTCCCACTTTATTTTAAAACGATCTATTTACATTCCAAGACCTTTTTAACCTCATAACAATGCACTCATTGCAATGTACGAGGCAAGCCTTTTATAGCGCACATATTAAAGCGATTTTAGACTATTAATAAAATCTCGACGACGAATCATTGCGATTGAATCTTATCGAATTCGTTGAACTTAATTAAAGTAAATCCTAAAAGATTTCTAGACTTCTACAATTATGTAAAGAATTAATGAAAGGTCTACGAAAGATCCGACTAAATCCGCGCACAAGTCGCACAAAATCGTAAATAAAAATCCCAAGAAAGCTTCTTTAATCGACAAAAAAATACTAATTCTGAAAGAATTGTTAAGTAATCAATCAGGATGATCAAATTGTCCAAGAATTAAATCCAATTGTCTCACGAAATTATTTTAAGTTTATGCGATTGATTTAAGTTACTTTAATAAAAATTTATTTTGCGAAAAGAATGAAGAGAGTAAAAGTATGAACAAATGTGATTAGTGAAGCATATATAAAATGTGAAAACGTTTTTTTTTATAAATAATATACATTTTAGTAGCGTTTATATAATTACCGAGAGTTTTAAGATGTGATAGAAGCGTAAAATAGTGTAGCGTTTTAGATTATAGTTTTATTGTGTTTAAGTGCTCAGGTTTTATCAGGGACGCTTTAATCTGCGCAATCAACGGTCAAAATGGAAATAACAATGCACAAGGCCTCTTTTTAAATAATCCATTACCGTTGAAAACGACATTTATCATCCCTTCGCTTTTTCAGACGACAAAAAACTTTTGTTTTCTTTTTCGAACAAAAAAAAAACAATCGTATTTTTCTCGATTACTTTGGAATATATACGCCGAAAAGCGAAACGATGCATGTGGTGATTCAAATCAACGGCTAGCATGCCATGTAACTTTGTTTAACACTAACGTATGTGGCAACATCGAGTAGAAGAATTAATATATTTCATTCAAACAATTGTTGTTTTAAATGCAACAATCGTATCGAACCATCTCCTACTATGTTGTCACATCAAACAAAAGATAAAAGAAAATTTTTGAACAAAACACCATTTTTTTAAAAACGTTTTTTGGTTAGTTATTGGATGATTGAAAATCAAAATTGCTAATGGCTTATTCTTACATGAGGAAACCTTTTAGTTTTAGATGCATGCAAATGATTGTTAGAAATTTCTAAATGAGTGCGTTTAGCGGTGAAGGATAGAATGTTAAATTTTGTCTATTAAACATCGTTGGCATTAGGATCATTTTATTTGATTCGGTGATTTTTTGCGTTAGAGGATCTCTTCCTTGAGGAGAGAATTAAATGAATTGCTTTACAGATATAAATGAAGATAGAAAGAGAGATAGAGGTCTATAACGCAATTCATTTAAGCACTGACGAAATCTGACCACGGACACTAAAGGGCAACACAAAAAGCAAGCCCGCTTTGTGGCCGCGAATATTTGCTAAAAGAGGTCATGCTTCGGATTCCACGGCGACAATCCAGTCTCCACACGTCTGTGAACTGAAAACACAAGTATATTTATACCACATTTAGCCGTTATTTTCGTTCCCGACTCCTCTGGGAGGAGTGACTGAAATGTATATTCTAGATTTGATTGCGGCGCGACTGGTTTTAGTGGTGCTGTAAGGGATACATTAATGGTACGGTTAGCTTTACTCGTATAGCAGTTCTCTGCTACTTCCTCGATGTATGTCTCATTACCACTTTGTCGGAAGCCAATCAGGAATATTCTACACGGTTGAACTGTTGTACGGATATTATTACTACAGGCATTAAAAATTCAAATAAAATGACGACAAACATCCTCAAAATAGTTTCATTTAAACAAAATTCAGGAAATTAATCATCTTGCAGCTTAAGAGATTCATTTCAGTTAAGGATGCGGTTGTCAAACAAGTGTAAAGATTAAAAAAAAATATGTTTAAATGTATAAATGTCAGGCTTACATTATAAGTATATGTCAAGTATATGAAATCAATATTCATGGATTAAAATCATTCCTAACGATTCCGAAGTGCTATATTAAATTATGTATAATAATTTGTATGTTTCGAAAATCTAATACTAATGGAAGCTTGTATTTAAAGCGTTATCAAGACGTTACAATTAAACCAGGCCACATAGCCATTTTAAAAATAATGTTATTATATAAATATTTTGCTTAAAAAATACTACCATTGCAAGTAAAAGTTTTAAAAAGTATTGAATAGCCAAATAATTATATTTTATGTGTAAATAGATATTATTTAATTGGATGAACATTTTGTAACATTTATAGACACAGTGTCAGTGTTTGTCTGTGTGTAAAGAATTCATATATTCGTACATGCAGCGGAAATCCGAGATTTGGGCTGACAAAGCAATACAAGCCTAAAAAACCCTCCCCTTTCTTGGGAACGGAGGCGAAACAACAAATTATTTACGCCGCCCCGGCAAACACTCCGAAGGCGTAAAACGAACATCGACGAAAGAGATTCCCGGCATCAACAATTGAAAGGGGGCGAGAGCAATCGCCGCAAATTCCCCACGCCGAAACTGTGTCCCCTCGCGGTGTGTCGTACTCATGAATAGTATACGTGTCGCTCGGTGTGACCACTCCTTTAGCTGGCGTACCGCCAACAGACCCGTATTAAGACCGGCCATGTGTTACTCCGGCCCCGAAAAATATTGGGGGGTGTGGCAAATTTGCATCGATAATCTATTGCTATGACTAATCCTCATCTCTGAATACACATTTTCCTTTGGTATTTTTATGTGATAAGGCGGCAAACGAGCTGGTTTCGGTTGGTTCACCTGATGTTAAGTGATAATCGCCGCCCATTGACATTTAGTCAGCCCAACACCAGTATGGTTGCATTAGCGTTGGTATCTATTAATAAGGGGTGCTGGCTCTAGAAGCAATCCACTTACTTATTGATTGTCAAAATACTACTACCGCTGCGAGAAAAAAGCCACTTATCTGAGAAGAACCGGTGAAAGTAACGTTTACACAAAAAGCTTGCATAACACAAGTCAGTGTATGCGGGCGCATGTGCAAATGTGCCTAGCACCATTTCAAGGCATAAACAAAGTTGTATATCACGCCAACAACTTGATACCGAGCGTTCACAAATCAAAGATAATTCACTTTTCGCGCTCTTAAAAGATAGCCGCGAAATTGGCGCGTCTCCAAAGCGCTTGGGGCGATACGACGTTCTTTATTTTATTGCTCACCACTTAAAATATGATTTCCGTAATAAAACCACGTTATTAAAATCGAAAGCGATTCGTGAGTCCCGCCGTTTGGACGTATGAAATGTTTGACATTGAATATTTTCGCCCACGATAAATTTGTCTTCATTATCTGTATATCAATATGCGAAAATGTAATATTTAAGTACTATTTTAATATTAATTACGAAAGGAGGATAACAATTAGATCATTCGTGTCATTTTCCGTAAAGGGAATTAAAATAAATCCTCTAATAATGACTAATTTTGTGCCGAAAAACTTGCTCAAATCTGTACTATGGCCAATACTAATAAATAAAATACTGTCTGCATAGACTGCATTAGTCTATGCCACGTATTTTATATGATTTCATTGAATCTGGATAAGCTCCGGTAATCAGATTTTATGCCTTACCCCGCTAATGGATACATTTTAATCCGTCACATTATTTTTAACGGGTAGATACGTAAGTATTAGGCACAGAATCCTGTGATTTTATCTATTCTTTATAGACGTTATAAAATAATTTTAGTTGATTCAGCCGCGGAACACGAATGCCTCGAAGAAATTTGAAAATCGCCAAAGCTACGTCATTACGAATGTAGAGTACCATGACCAATTGGATAATTTAATAATGTCTGAATATCTGAAAAAAACATTAAATTTTTCTCTTAAACACAGTCGATATAAAATTTATTTATCCAACATTCACAACATTAAATCTATCTAAAAGTGCATATCGTCTAATAAGCTAATCTTGTAATGGTGCCTGAATAGTTATGCTTAACCTTTGAGCGAGAAAAGAACCAGCTCTCTTGTCATTAAATTATTTTATTCCTTATACTCGAAAGGGCACATTTAAATGTACATGATTTACACTAATAAGTGGAAGTGAGCTAACAACATTAATGAACAGTCGCTAATGAAATTTGTCATCGTCAACAATGATTCATGACTGCGCAGCGAACATTGTCCGCTATCAAAGTTACGTTTCAACTTTGTCACATGTTTTAGGCAAATTGTTACATAAAGTATACATTACAAAATTCGTTGTTCATTAATTACGCTAAAAGGATTAATTTGTTTTATCTACCATACGCTTGTATGCCTTTGATATGACAAAATGAAGTGGTTTTTTTTTTTTTTTCAATTATAAATAAGCACATTCGAGACACATACATATAGATGACTCCGTGGCGCTGTCGTCAAGGTATTGGCTTCGGTGTCGGGGGTCATGGGTTCGATTCCCACATGGGACAACTATTTGTGCAACCCACAGGTAGTTGTTTCGCATCTGGGTGTTTGTCCACGAGAAATTTATGTATGTAAAACGTCCTTACAACACAGGATAATGTTATCCCAAAGTAAGGACAATGTTTAAAAAAAAAGAAAAAAAAACATACACATAAATTATAACATTGACATTAAAAATAGTGTAACTTAATAAAACTTAAATAAATACTTTTTATATAGCGTTAATAATGCTAAGAAACTATAATCCACTTATCCTTACCCCTATTTAATAACTCTAAGCATATCACCACAGTTCGGTGTAATGAATTGAATGTTATAACTTTAAAACTAAGACCTAAGTACGAAAGAAACTGGAACAATCGAGACAATTCGAGTATCCGTGTAAAAGCTCCACTTCAAAAGTTCCCTCCGACCCGATAACAAATCCGGTTGATTCAATACGAACTTTGAGTTTCCTCGGTTGTCTTTTATCTTCGACTGACAGATGTTAACCTTTCCACAATTGTAACAAACAAAATAAGCTGCAAAAGGAAAAGTTCTCACATCTTTAACCCAAACGGAGTAGATGATTTTTTATTATTTTTATGAGCAAAAAGGTAGTAAGCGAGGAGGTTCACCCCAAGTTAAGTGGACCACCCATGGACATTTAATTCGCTAGAAGGGTTTTAAATGCGAACCATTAAAATTAGCCACGATAACCTCGCTCACCAGACGAAACCGAAAGTTTAACTCTATCATGTCGAGGCGGTCTTCCATGAGGCCCTGGCACTTCCGCGGAACAGCCTGCCCAGTCATGCAACATAAGAAGCTGCTACTGATGGAATGTGTTCTTAACCAAAAAAATAAATAACAAAAAAGCCGAAACCCATGTTATTTACACGGAGTTTTCTGGTTTTTGAACAAATCGTACCCAGAGGTTTGTACCCACATCTGAGTATGAGTCATTGGAAGACAAAGCCGTGACATAACATCGTAAGTTGACGGCCTAGTGAGAGGGGATTACGTGCCGATATTTCGTGGATACAAATTTAATATCCAACTATCAATTCATCATTGTTTATAACTAACAATTTACTAAAAATATTCATTTACAAATAAATATTTATGTATGATATGTACCCTTCCTATGCTCTTCATATTGGAACTCAATGATGAAAAACTGCAACTGAATTGTTTGAAAACTATACGTATAGCTGAGTAAATAAAGCTCATTTCCTATGCAAGGCAAAATAACCAATACACTTTTATTACGTGTACAATTTTATATACCTACCACTATGACAGTAATCCTTGGTTGGGCATTTTATTACACTTAAAACAAAACCACACAACAATAAAAGCAAACAAAGGAATAATATCAGCAATGATGTCAGAATCAATAACAAATGTTACAACTTTAAGTATTTAGTGCAAGTGTAAGTATTCTCTCAGACCCGTCTTGTATTCGTATTGTTTTATTGTCCTTTTTGGCAAACAGATATCAATTAAATCAAGAAATACGACGAACACTTTGCAAACAATATATGCAAAGTTTGGGCCCTCAGTTGAATCATCTATGGCAAGATAAGGCCGCATTAAAGTCGATAGACATTTAGTACTTCTACCATAAAAATTGTCATCTGTAAACGACCGTTATCGGAAGAACTTCTTCACGGTACGAACCGCATAATATCCATTGCGCTGGGAATCTTAACAGCTGACATTACACTGGTCATTCTTATGTATCACCGTACGCTCGTTAGTAATCATCTATGAGGTAATTGTACCAAAAACTTTATCGAAGGTCTGTGTTTACAAAGTATTTTTGTTATTTCGATTATTCATAAATGACACCCAAAATAATCTGTCTATTTTTAAGGCTCAGTAAGATAGCAATATAAATTAATATCTTTGTTCGGTTAAATTATACATGTATTTAAAAATTAAATCGATTCTCCTGTAATACTAGAAGGATATACAGATATTGGCTGTTCAAGTCACATGTTGCTTTTATTATTGTTAAGTTCAATAAAATATTTCATATGGAAGACTTCATGGATACGCTATCTAGAAACGAGTTTTCAATACATTACGCGGGAGCAAACAATAACGCACCTATACCGAATGAATCTCTGTGATAATGGTGTCTAAACATCGCGTAAACTGTAGTACGTTTGAAATATTTAGCAGATGTTTAAATTGTGTGCTTTCACTTAAAAAATTAAGTTAAAAATATTTATGTAATAAAGTCTTTAGATTTTTTGTCGGTAGCATTTTAGGAGTAGTAACTGAATATTGTACTAACTAATGAGCGAAAACTATGGATTAGGTTTATTAGATAATATGTCATTTTAGATAGATTAAATCTTGTAAATATTATATCAATAAACTGTATTCACAAGTTTATGACCAAAATACAATAACATTTCAGCCTGGGTGTTCGGATATGTATTTATTACAAAAGAAAATTATGTTTATGGATAACTATACTACAATCATATATCAAAAGTTGGTATCCTGCACTACAACCTAACGTATGTGCGTAGCAGTGTACTCGTAGGAGCGTAGCGGCATACGAGCGTAGGTGTGTAGAAGTGTAGAAGCGGTAGACCGTAGCAGTGACTAAATAAGAATCTACGAATAAACACATAATAGAAAAACATCACATAATGTTTCTATCGTTTATTAATTTTGATATCACGGATAAATTTTAATACAAAAATAATACAATTGTACGTAAATATCATGTATACGAAAGCGATATTATCAAATAGTTCGTTATTATATCGCAAATAATAAATAACAGTTTTTAGCTATCATGACAAAAATCCATGGTTCAAATAAAAAGACGTTGATTATGAAGTGTAATAAACTGTGTAGCGTTTTTGTACCAATAGGGTCAGCAGCACCTACATCTCTTATTAGATAGAACTGGATTTTGCCTCTATTTTATTAGAGACACCTGTTGTTTGCATTAACTAACAATTTACTTCATATAACCTCCAAAAAGTAACAAACCCGGCATCAAAAGAAATTTTTAGGGCAGACACCACACCCTTCGTTTAATCATCTCCATAAACTGTAAGCTGTGAATATGCACTTCTAGTATAAAGAAGAATATTATATCATTAAAACATGTAGAAAAAGTACGAAATGATTGTCGCCGCTGTGGGAATCGAACCCAAGTCTTCGGGATTCGCGGCCTGACGCTCTAGCCACTGAGCTAAACGGCTGATAACCACAGCGACGAAAATCTTAACGCCTTCCTTCTACATTGTTATTTTGCATTTGAAGCAATTCTTGGCGCATCTATTGTTATATCCTTTCCAGCATACAAACAATTTCGAATATCGTTTTACAACGATAATTCGAATGAGAGATGTCGCCATTGCTTTTTATAAATTTTTAAGTTTTTATAATGCTAATCTTTTCGTACTTTTTCTACATGTTTTAATGTTCAATCTTAAGTTAAGTTAATTTAATTTTTACATGTACGAAGTGTGTTCTCGTGTGTTTGTGCGTGACATAAAACGATCTCTGTGAATTCTGTACTTTTTTCAACCATACTGTAAATTTTTAGTATTACTATATTAGTACATATACCGAAAGAAGCAGCCACTATTAGTTTTATCACAATAAAAATTCTAACCACTAAGTAGTTGGGAAATACCAGAATATGGAAAATTTAAGGCTTTTTCGTCGAACACTTGTTTATTCCCGCGCATTCGTTCTATGCGTTTAGCTTTTTAAATCGCAAATAAAAAATTCAAAAGAGCGTTTTGTTCTTTGGCCGCGGCTCTCCGACGTTTGGAAAAAAAAGGCTTGTTTGCGGAACGTATTTTCTACACCACGTGTTTTCACTGTGAAAACAGCTCGACCGATGTTGCGAAATTCCGGTGAGAATTCGGCAAGAATTAGCCAAAAACGTAGAGGGAATATTTAAATAGGCACAGCGAGAATTTTAACACAATTAGAGCAAACATGTGGGTAATTACTTCCATTCTGAAACTGAAAACTGTTCATTAATTAGTTTATTAGTAAACAGTTTTCAGTTGACGATTAACATAAGTTGCAGTTTTCATGAAACATTTATATATTACTAGCGGTCCCGACAAACGGTGTCCGGTACACAGGACTTAAATCCGAAAACTACTTATAAATAAATAAATTAAAAGAAAAATGTAGTGGACCGAATTGTGAATCTAAACCGTTCTCGAATCGATCTGAAGACACACAAAAAATTTCATTAAAATCGGCCCACCCGTTTAGAAGGAGTTCAGTGACATACGCACGCACAGAAGAATTGTATATATAAATATAGTACTGATATTTGTTAAAACAACTCTAAATGGATTCCTCTCACCTGTTGTACATCAAAACATCCGGTTTCCATAGCTTATTCGGCGTGATACGAAGGTCTTTAACACCACCGTACTCGCTGTCGTTCCACCTCAAGTTGTAGTCGTTCCATTCCTGCACCATTCAAATGTGAAGTTAAAACATTATTTTTATGTTAATCCGTGATAAAGTCCGTGATGTCATACATTTCCGTGACAGATAATATGAGCAAGCGTCATTAGTGCTGAAGCAATATTTGCAATGAAATTATATTGTATTCTTTTTAACGATATTGAATCGATTCTGAGTTTAACGCAACACAACTTTTTAAATAAATTTACCGGCCAATCGAATTGAGACACGCTGCTGGAAATGTAATTAGTAAATGTGTAATTTCACGGAAGAACGTTGCTTGTATTATCCGTGACGGCGTTGAAAAAGCAATTAAAAACGAATAGTGTAAACTCGACCCGTTTCGTGTTACATTGACCGTACGAACACGTTATCATACATGAACGTTTGTTTCGTGCTTTATTGAAAATGTAATTTTAGATCAGTCCGAATTGAGTTTGCAATATCGCTGGCGCTCGATAATTGGAAAAGATATAACAATGGAGCTACGCGGAAACAATTTTGAAATTTACGATTTCGTAGACATATCTAAGCTGTCTCTACAAACCTACTCGCTTGTACGTTATCATCCAACGTATTCTACTTGAATTATTATTGTGGCTAAAACAGTTTGGTATTATTTTAGTGTTGAGTAAACAAATCGTCGCAATTTTATTAAATTTCCTTTAATTTTGTTTGTTTGATCTTCACTATTCTTTCACAGACTGGGCTTAAGCCGTTGTCAAGTTTCAAAATATAAATGTATTTATTTACATATTTCATAGCCTTTTTTCGCCTCGCATGTAACTGCCATGTTTATGCTCAGATTCATTAAGAAGAAGAAAAACATTTGTCGCCGTTCATTGAAAAAAAAACTATATAAAGGTATGAAAAAAAAAACATATTTCACAGCAGAGCCACGAAGTTACTTTAGGTAAATGGCATCGAGTTTCAAAATTGTTTCCGAATACTCAGCACGCACCAGACGGGCGGTATAACAACTTTAACTCGACTACGGACAATAAGTAACTACGCTATTTAGATAGCACGGTAACAAAGCTGACTTGAGGGGCCCTACAAACTTTGTACCCTCTCCACTCATATTACAAAAGTTTGTCTTAACAACTTTGGAACAATATCAGGGCTACGTGTTTATAGGGTTACAGTGCTTCGATATAAAGCCACCGTCTCTCGTCCTATTGAATCGTCTTTAATGGAATTGTAGACAATTCGAGGACCGATGGACATAACCATATTCAAAGTATGCGGTATATAATAAACTAAAGAGCGATTTTCTGAAGGATACAGCCGGTATGATGCGTGCAACTTAAAAGCCTCTTATTTTGTTTTATTTTACTTTGAATTAGGAAAACATAATTTATCAATTATCGAGCATAGTTTTCATTATCATAATCTAAATATGAAATCTAGAGACGTAAAACTAATAAATGAACTAAATTTTAAATAAAATTTACACAGATTATAAATTAAAAATAAGAAACCCAAAATTGCTTGAATTGTTAATGCGGTACATTGATAAAATAGGATAGAAATTGCAACGATTCATTTTAATGGCATTAATATATCTTAAAACAGCATTAACAAGACCAAAGACTGAACTAAAATTGTTAATTGAAGAGATTATTTGGCGTAATCTACTCTATAGATACAAAGAGCAGGCAAAGAACAACAGCAACATCACACATTATGGAGTCAAGCATTCAACGACGTCACAGGAATAAATACAGATAACATAAGGTACTAGTCATGCACAGGTATCAGGTACTTGACAAGCATCATACAAACACCACAGGCACAAAAGCACAAGTCACTTATATATAAGGGACGCTATGGGTTTGACCGCTCTCCAAAATTTTTCCTTGACAAACATAAACAGGGTCTCAAGGTCTACTGGATATTTATTAAATATACTAAGCTGCCATTTTGGTAAATGCTAAATTGATCATCATTTAATCAGCTTACCAACATACTTTCATGTCGAATAAGAAAGATACTAGGTAACAATAAACAATACGAAATTTAAATATTTATCCTCAGCGGCATATATTAAATGCGTGTTTTCAACAGCAAAGTATGTTATTAAAGCATTATTTAAGGTTTTTTTTAAATATCGATCTTACTGAAATAACATATAAAAATAATAAGAATCATATTTAAATCAGTAAGTAAATAAAGGTGTTTTTGTTATTATTAACAAGGAAACATAACATGTATATTATTTATAACAACTGACTGAGGTTCAATTTAATAAAAATATTTTAAAGACATTTTTATTTTTCTCTTCAAAACAATAACGTCATTCCACGGCCATGCATAGCTTTAAAAATACTACAATTATATTGTAGCCAAACTAAAAAAAATGACAGCGGGTTTCGGGATGTGCAAAATCATTATAGTACAGTGAATATTGTTTTTCAATATTTTGAAGAATATGTGCAAGATTAATTTACACAAACCGACATTCAACCTCCATCAATATGTTACTTTCAATTGACACTATAACTCTTCGGACCTAATTCACCCGCATTTAAATAATTTTAGAGAAAATTTTAAGTTGCCTCGAAAATAAGGCAACGTTGCGTTTTTGAAAGTTTATAACATTTATTATTTGTATTTAGAAATGTTCAGGTCAACCATTAGTACATATTGTTTATGCATTGCGGCCTACACGGCAGTTATAACGTGTAACAATCAAGAAATTTCTACTCAATATACATATTTATTATCTATTAATATATTAAATAAAGAATATTTAGAAACACTGCGATAATACATCAAATAGATAATGCTTATTTTCCAACAGATACCAAAATTTAAATTTTTATAGTTCTAATCTCTCCACTTGAAATGAAACATTAAAATTTATAAAAAATTAACTTAGTTTACGATAAAAATAACGAATGAAATAAGCAGCGAACGTATTTATTTAATTGTATTAAACTGTCCGGTTAAATAACTGCTTAAAGTGCTCCCTTATTACAGTTGAACACTAGAAACGTATTTTTTTTAGTTCAACGCCTAGCTTTTCACGGGTTCAATGAACCGTTCACTTACCTGAACTCTTAATAAACTTTGAACGTTTGGTATTCGAAAGGATAAAGTCAAAAAAGGGACCAAGTACTGATACGGTATAAATGCCAACTATCTAATTTATGATAACATCGCACGAAAGGATGCATGACAGGGTCTACTCACTATTCTACTTGCATGGCTCGTGAACAGCATCTTCACAAGAATACCGAGAAAAACTCACTAATAACTGTCAACAGACAACAGTAAAATATCAAAACTGCCGCATACTCCACAATGCAATGCAATTTTCATAGACAGATAGCAGAAGAGAAATCAAGGACAGATTCAACGCATAGAAGGATCAAAGAATCAAGTCAAAAGGAAACAGAAAAGAAAAAGAAAATAGAAATTAGAAAAAACAAAAACAAAAAAGATCGTATTAAAAGAAAGAACGATAGAAATTTTATCGAGTGTTAATTTAGTTTTGTTTTTTAATCACACTTACCAATGACAGCCATATATTGGTTATAAGTAGTTGATTCTTCTCGTCCTATTTGGTTAGACGATGTCAACATAAACAGAGAGAAAGGACGCAGTCAGTACAATGTTCTAGACAGCAGTTACTCCACACGCTGGGCACACACAAGTCGGGGGCTGGGCGGCGCGCGCGGGAGGGACCCACGCGTGGGACAGTCCCGCGCGCCGCCCCACACACAATCTAATGTCGATTAGGCGCAATGACGTAACAACAATTTAACACCGACTCTCCATGCGACAGAACCGCCGCGACGGCGCCCCTAGCCTCCCCCGCCCCGTCTATCCGTCACCCTGCAAAGGTGCATCCGAACGCAAAAGCGGTATATTACAACGGCTCGACCGTACAGTGCAAACTTGGCTTTCAGCGGGTGAGAAATCAAAAGAAAACGCCTCAAGACGGCGGCTGGTGGAGAAGATACAGGATGTTACCGTAGGTAGTCTCAAGGGCGGGGCAGCGAAGGCGCCTGGCCCGGCACCTACCACTTACCAAGTTGAGCCAGACGTTTGTGGTCAGGATTTGGTTTTTCTCGTCCTTATTTTGTTAAACGGACACGCGGCAAAGTGGGGAATGAAAAACACAGAGTGAATCCACGTGAATTTACAATATTTTTTTGACATTATAGGCCCAACATTATTACCACATTCTATTACGTACTATATATGTAATTCGAAAAATCGTCTGAATTGCATTTCATGTTGCAACATGTAAACTACGTGTAAATTTTTGACAGATTGAGAAGATATCTTATAATATTTTCAAATTATTATGGGTTATCGCTGTCGAATTTGATGATGATGATATTAAAATGGCTAGCTTGACTTACATTTGTGTAAATGTATATAAACTAGTATACAATAACGAATTGTATTCCATGTTCTAGACTAACTCCCTCTCCATTTGTATTAATAGCTTTGTTTGTTCTGTTCAACGCAGTAACTTCAGCAATTTTAGTTGTGCAGAGTTTGTGCTGATGGTAACAAAGCCCTTTTCAATAAATCTGCCGACAGTTTCAGGTAGTCGATCACAAAACATATTCAAAAACTATAATTGTTGAGCAATTAACCAGATATTTTTTGTTTTAACAGAGAGTCTTAAGTTTAATTTAGTAAATTTGGTAGTTTCATTAAAATATGAAAGTGTTAATGATATTTATAAACATTACAAATTACTATTAATTTCTTTAATAGTAGTTTGTAATTTTTTCGTTTCATATAATAAAAATAAAACAGTTGAAACGGTAAACAATAATATACATAATAAAACATACTTTGACTATAATGAAAGAGTTATTACATATTTCATAACTGAAAAAGGTAATGATTAATGACTTCGAATGAATGTCGCAAGCGAAAAGAAATTTCATGTCACAAAAATGATAACGTATTCCCCCGCTGTGAAAACATCAAACGTTTCCACTGACATTTTCGATCGAAGTGACAGACTTGTCAAAATCGAAAAAGTTCTCACGTAAATTTTCGACCAATACGTTTTACAGACTATTCAAAATCGACGGCTGCGTAATAAACAGACACTCTCATTCTATATACGAGCAGTAAACATACGTTCATTACAATTCGTAGGAAGGAACCGTTGCTGGCGTTTTATTACGCATACGTAACGTTGTAAATACTCATAGGGAGATAAGAGATGAAGCGTTGCATTTTCCTAATTAACGAGCTTAACGCTTCCGCTAGCCTCCACATCAGCGGCTTATTTTAGCCTCTCTTCGTGCAAAAGCCGTACTTCTGCCGGCGCCTCGCCGTCGGCTTAACGACGCGCCAGATAAGGCACTCAATGGAACAATTCGAAAAAAACTAAATGCTCACCCATTAAGGGAAAATTTTACAACCGTAATATAACCACGGGAATGTTGCAAGTACAGCTTTGAAATTTTTATTGTAGTTTGATATTTCACTTTGGTGCGATTCCTACAGAAATGTAGTATTATTTCTACAGTTTAAAAATGAGTGACGTGTAATGCCTGGATAGTGAAATACTCTTAATGCACGTGATATGACAATATGATAACTCTCGGTTCGATATAAATCTGAGCATCGTCAAAAAAACATTGAAAAAGTGAATGTAAATTAACTAAATTGATCTATTTAAATTTTATGCGTTACACAAACAAAACCATCGGTCGAAGTTATAATACGGTAATTATAATTAATAAAAGTCAACTATCTTCCACGTTAAATGATTCGTTATTAGTACCACTATCACCTTTTGAATTCGTTTTGGAGTTCGAATTGGCCAGTCGTAAAAATCCTAACCAATATTACGAACAACATCATTCATATGCTGTGCTGATCGCACCTAGGTGAGCTAAAGGAAGGAGAATGATAATGGTCTTAGTAAAGCATAAAAGAATACTTCCTAATCTAGCTTTGTAGTTAGGTCCACTTTCTACACGTTCCAATATATCTAATGGATTCAATGTTGATTGGATTTCGTGAAATAAGTAATCCGAACATAAATTAATTATATTTAAAATATATTTTATATGACATTACTTTGGGATTCACGGACTAAGTGTGTTTTAAATAATTCTTATTGTGACATATTCAATGTTACAAACTTCTGTAGCACCTGTTGGAAATCCGATTTTATTTTTGTATACACATTTAGAAATACTTACACATGTTCGTATACTATAAAAATCACTTCTAAATTTGGCCCGAATTTCTATAAATTACAATAAAAATGACTCGTATACAAAATTATCGTTTATCTACAGGAGTATGACGAGTTAATTGAATGGCCAATAATAGAATCTATTTCGAAGACATTAATGAATACCCATTAACTCGACAAGTGTGTTTCTTTGGCTACTTCGTCACTTACCATCAGTTTAAAGTAGTCAACTAAAGGCAATTCATTATTTATTAGATATCTGATGGTCCAAATTATTTGTAAAATAACTACGAAAATACCGATAACTGTTCATAGTAATGAATTTGTGACCTGTGCTGTTCAAGGAATCTTGTCTGAGGAACAACCTAATCCCCGTTTTGTTCTTTTATTTCGTGCTAGTCTACAAATCGCATAGTTGTTTTCGAAAACCATAAAATTACGACTGCACCCTTTTGATTCTAAGCTATCTTTTGTCTGCTCCCGCTACAAAGTCTTCAGAAAGACGATGCTCGAGTTTCACAAAGACCCTGGCGTGCTCTTCGCACTTTGTAAAGTCAATCCGACATTGTATTACTGCATTATATCGCCTTTCTTAAAGAATATTTTTTTAAGTATGGACGAACGAATGATAAATTAATATTTATATTCATTAAATTTGCTACATGAATAATATATCTTGTATAACATTATTATTTGGGGTTATTTCTTTGTTTTCGTCCGGTTGGGTTTATAGATAAATAATAAACATATAAATATATATTGCATATATAAAATAAATATTATGAATAAAAAGAAACATATAGATATAAATATTGTATATAATACATATATTGTAACGTGTATTTGTATAACATTATTATTAGTTTTATGTTGGGGATATTCCTTTGTTTTCCTGGTTGGGTTTATAGATTAAAAAAAAAAATAGTTTTATTATTGTTTCGGTTTCATTCCTAACTATTTTCCAGGTCAGGTTAAAGGATGAAGTCCAAACCGATATTCGTAACAAATGAATCTGTGAAATATAGATATAGTGTTTGTTTTACGCTTAATATGCTCCTACTTTCCTATATAATGATTTGTGGATATGATTATGATTTGTAGGGGTCATTCAATATTTTTAAAACTACTCTATCATTCTTTCAATATCATTTTTCTAAACATTATATGCGCCGAATGGGAACACCATGTGTTTGATTTCATATATACAATTATTTGTTTTTCGATTGAATAAAATTTTGCTAAAAAGTCATGTAACGTCTACGTTTGAGTGGGAATCGTTTCTACAAACTGGGGTGTCGTCGAAATTTCACATTTAGCGGTTGCATCAAGCAACTATCTTGATGCAACTGATAAATAGTAATACTAATATTAAAGTAACAGTAACAACCTATATTTCTTCCACTGGTGGCCTCCTCTGTATAGAGAGTATTAGGACATAGTCCACTACGCGAGCCCACTGCGGGTTGGCGGACTTCACATATTTTTGAAATATTTTTGAAAATATTAAATTTATTATTAAATATTTTTTATTATTATTTAGAAAATATGTGAGTTTTTTCCTACGCCCCTGAGCACGTGATAAGTCAGCACTTAAAATAAACAATTTCATTGGTGCTGGCACCGGGGATCGAACTCAGGTTGCTCGAGTAAATTGAATTGAAAGCGAGCGCCCGGACAATGAGCTTAAGTTAATAGACGGCCCCAGTAAATAGTAATTTACTGAATCCCACCATAGTTTTAATATTAAACGTGTATTGCGGTAAGAACGTATTTAGAGCATTAAGCAACTCCCCGCAACTTCACTGAGTTTAAAATTTCAACAATAGCCGGTCGTCAGCGAGCTTAAAAGTTTTGATAAGGTAATTTGTATTTAATTCATTCGCTCTCGGTATCAAACTAAGTTTTGAGTAAGTTTGCGACGCTTTAAATTTGTTAAGAGCAACCTATAATTGGATTTGAGATTAAAATCTGTTTTATGAAACGATATTAAGTCAATTTAACCTAATTTATTGAGAATAATTTTTGTTTATGTTGTACTGTTTTTTTCATGCAAAATATTATACCGCTTCAACAAAACAAAGGCAGCCTGAATTATCCGTACATCTGTATTATTACACGGTAACAAATAATTGTAACTGTCCGTTACAAAGGAGTGCGTCCGACACAAAATCCCCCTTTGAAATATGCTTATAAATGAGCACAAAAGGCGAAATGAACGAGTTAGCGGGGCTGCCATTACCTCCCAGCGTAATGACAAACAATTGTGACGGTGAACACTTTAAAACACCTTGCATCCTGAAGGAAAAGGGGTAAGAATTGTATTCGTGGAATTAAAATTATACACGTGGCAGACTGCAGCCACGAGGCTGGCACGTATATAATTTCAAGAAAGTGTTCTTAGCTGGCTATATTCACCCGGCGCCGAAGCCAGTGGCTTAGCAACTTGCCACTGCTATTACACTCATAATTAAACCATGGGCAATATTGGTGATATTGTGTTAAAATTCCTAACATCTGCTCTAAAAAAATATAAAATTTAATAATACATTTTGGCATTCACCTTGCAACCTGCAGTGCTCCGAGTTTGATCTCCACAGGCCACACAGGTTGTATGACCTATAGATAATAGTTCCAAGAAGGCTTGGTGCCATGATTTTTGTGTTCGCAAAACTTTCCGCGACACAGAAGTCGAGATGCGAGTCATGCTCGAGTCGTTTTGTTAAAAAAGAGAAAAAGAGAGATAAAATATGTTATAAGACATACCGAGGGGGACCGAGATTGTTGTCTCTATTATCGTAGTACTTTGTTGTTACAAAATTGGAATAATGACCGTTCATAATATGGCACGACCCGCCGCAAAACAAAAAGTACCGCTCAAACGGTCTAATTACACCGCTGATGCTGGGGATTGTCATAATTTTGAACCTATATAGTCGTATATCGTTGTTCCCACGGTGCGCTCGGACTGATGAATTAATTTCACAACACCATCCCTGCACATCTATCTACTAACGAGTCGAAATAATTAAACTACAAAGCATTAATTGGTTGCGACATATACTCTAAATAGGTGAAACGCGGTTTCGATTGTTGAAGTGGAAATTTTGTTGGAAACGTGTTTCGATGTTTCGACAAATTTGAATAAATTTTTACAAGAATCGAAGTTAATTTTCAAGTAAATCTATACAAAAATTCAAAATTACCTTGTTACCTTCCCTTCTTCTATCAGAAAATTATTATAAGCCAGTTTTATTATTCATTTCCGACATTTTGTGCTTTAAAGGGAGGTAGGTACCTTTGTAGTCGAGTAGAACTAAAGTCTTTGCGTTTGATAGTTGATATTACATCTTATGGAAACTATAACTTTCTAACCTGTATGTTTAATTTGTGATGTGTGATTTGTCTACTTCTCTGTTTCTCTTGGAAATGTCGTCAAAATAAATCCGATGAAAACATCAGTTTGATACTGCAGTTTGATTTAAAATGTGTATTTAAAATCTTGAATGGAAACGAATATTATTTTCTTTTGCGAAGTTTGTATTAATAATGAGTGATAAATTAAGGTAGAAAAAAATATATGGTACTTCTTTTGAGTAAAGTAGACGGTGGGATGCCATGTTCCAAGAAGATATATATGGAAGAAGATAACCTAAAAGACTGTCTATGAATGATTTATGCTTGAATAATGTGTTTCCTATGCAACACGGAGGGCATTGATTTGAATAATAGTAAACGTTGAAGCGATGATAGAATAGAAAAATGTTTCTTACATAATGTCACTTTAGAAATTGACGATTTTTAATACTGACTAGTGTAAAGATCCATCCATTTCATTCGACTTAGAATTTAAAATTAAAATTAATTTTATGATATAGCTATAGCAATTCTGTAAAACAACTTTATTAGTTAACGGCAGGCTTAACTATCGTAGACGCACACAAATGAGACTAAATAAGATTGCCACTAGTGATTAAAGTGAATTCTGTTTAAATAATAAAGAACATCCTTTGCATTGACTGGATACCAGGGACGCAGCAAAGCCATGGTCTAAACGCAAAATGAGTCAAAAGATGGTGGATGAGGGATCTGTGTCGACACTGTCCATCTGCCTTGAGATCTGGCATGAAAAATAATGCAAATATATGCTGTGAAGTGTTGCAAATGATGATTGACAACGGCGCTTTTAAAGAACCATGAAAACTTATTTTTTTTATTTTATGATAATCTGATGGGTGAAAATAAAATCAAAGAATTTATCTTATTTTTTTTATTTTATGATAATCTGATGGGTGAAAATAAAATCAAAGAATTTATCTTATTTTTTTTATAATGTGAAATCAAAGAGTTTATATGTTTTATTCCTATTATAATATAGGCAAAAACGCATCAATAATAATGAAACAAGAAAAATTTTATGGAAATAAAAAGGTTTGAGTTCTCCTATTATAAAACGCCAATTTTATTAGTACGTAATAATATTAGAATCACTTCAGTACTAGTACAATAAACGAACAAAACGAGGAATTGTCATTCAATCCGCATAGGATACGTTAAGTTAATTTTGCCTACATTTTTCAATGTGGTTCGGTACTGGAAACGCAAATACACATCAATTAACCTTAATTTTACCCAGCTTAAGTTATTCAAGTATATTGAACATTGTATGAATGATCTTTCTTTTGATGACTCCGTGATACAGTTGCCAAAGTATTGGCGTCGGCGTCGGTGGTCTTGGGTTCCCAAAGGGACAACTATTTGTGTGACCCACAGATAGTTGTTTCGCATCTGGGTGTTTGTCCGCGTGATATTCATGTTTGTAAAACGTCCTTACAACACAGGATAATGTTATCCTAAAGAAAGGCAATGTTTTTACAAAAAAAAATGGAGATTTAGAGATGTTTGAGATTAACTTACCACGTCGATGATCTGTTGCAGTGTAAGACCGAAGCGTACCTCCAGTGGCTCACTTTCGTTGGCCACTGGCCGCTCCAGCGTGTTGTAGGAGGCGAGGAGGGCGTTCAGCAGCCTCTTCTCGTGGGGCCCTTGCTCCGACACTGTGGAAAATTCTTCGGTCAGACAGCTCGTCGGGAAGGATTAAATTTTCCTTTACTATTATCACTGTGCTTGATCCGCATCCGTTGTAACTAGGACTTGATGTTGTTGTCAGATGAACTCTACAGAGTATGCGACATTTCAAAGTTTATATTGCACAAGTGTGTAAGGTTCTGTATACGTGTCAATATAATGTGCCTCGTAACGAGAGGAGTTCCAATAAATTGTCCTCTTTATGAGACATCCAACGAGTCCACAGAAATGTCTGTATTGTCCGTGCCGGGATAGCTCAGTGTCCGGGCGCTCGATATACTCGAGCAACCTGAGTTCGATCCCTGGTGCCGGCACCAAAGAAATTGCTTCAAATGCTAAGAAACCAAAGAAATTGGTAATTTTAAGTGCTGAATTATCACGTACTCAGCAGAGGCTCAGAAACCTTCATATTTTCGAAGTAATAATTTAAAAAAATATTCTAATATATTCGAAGTCCGCCAACGGTGAACTATGCCCTGATACCCTCTGTACAAAGGTGGCCTTTGCCCAGCAATGGGACATGTTTAGGCTGATACTTTGTCTGTATTGTCATACAAGATTACTCAACAGAAGCTGCCATTCTAACTAGTTAGTCTAGTTAATTCTAACTAGATTTAACCATATTTAATATTTCCTAAATCATATTTGAAATTCCATAATTCATTACATACATACCTTGCGACTGACGTTCTAGTTGAAACACTGCGGACAGGATGAGAGATCGCGCGGACGAGGCTTCCCGCAACAAATTAAACGAAGACCGGGCTTACCGATGGCCGAACCACGTACAATGAGTAACAGCTAGACAGAGCCGTCGGCCACCTGAGCCTCTGAACGAAAGAATCGCCGCTCTTATCCCGAACACTGAAGGTCCAAATTGGCGCGTACCTTCGGAAATTAACTAGAGTCCCACTTGAAGGAATTGCGATAAACACTCGTTTTAGGGGCTTAGATCGCTCTTACGGACGTGATGTATGGCGGCCGGAGCGGGAGTGCCCGCGCTGGATTAGGCAGAGGAAAGAGATAGATATATAGTGATAGACGCGTTTTGAAAATGGCTGCTGGATGATATATTTAACTGGGAATTCGGTGTTACAGTGGCCGCGTTTTATGTGTGAAATACGGTACAGGTAAAATGATTTTTTTTTGTAAATGGTATTTTAATTATTAAATAATTTACCTTCGAATGACGCGGCCTATACGTTTTTATATTGCATATAAACTGCTGGGCGAAAGAAACTCCGTTTCCTCTTGTTTGTTAGGGTGTCGAAAAACTAATACATAGTTTTATCGCAATTAAATAGAGTATTATTAGCACTAAACCAATGAACTATTTCTGACATAGCATTACTTACCTCGTCAAATGTCATAAAATGTAGATCGATTTTTAAAAAAACTAAATCATAACATTTATATGAAACGTTACTAAAAACGATAAAGTTCGTAAAATAGTACGATTTAACAATGTGCTGCCTTCGGGTAGATAAAATAAATCAGTATATATAGGTCGAGATTATATATTGTCCATTTTTGCCGTAACGTGAAACTAAACGAAGGGGGAACCTCTGAACTCGGAGAGGAAGAGACCGTTACGTTTTCGCATCACATCCCGGCTGGGACCTCGAGGATAGCGAGCGCGCTGCAAAGCGAACGGATAATGTCAGCCCGTCAGTTATTGCTTCCCATGAAGCAATAAAGCGGCGAGGCGGTGGCTAATCTGCTATGCGGCGAAGCGATATTACCGCCGAAGTGGTAGACGGGCTTTATTGTTGTATCTCCAGCGGCCGGCTGACTGTGCGCTTCTCGGAGATAGAGCGTTCTTGCTAAATAAGTTGGCGGATCTTCATTCTAGTTAACTTTTATGCTATAACATTTATATGTGCGACTGTCCCAACGGATTGCAAGACAGAATTTTTATTTTGCACACGCTCCCTTACCGACTCCTTTAAACGACGTTGTTTGAAGGAGTCGGTAGTTTCTGACCACATTATAAACATAACTTTGCAAACAATCAAATGAAGGTGAATCAAGAACACCAATCTCTTCCTAACCTGATTGACCAAATAACTTTATTTATTAAAAAGCACATTTACGCCCCTGGAACCATTTTGAGGTCCCAGATCAAAGAATTCGTCTGCTTGATTATCTCAGGATAATAAATAGAAAGAGGTAATAAGTAAAATAACTTTGTTATATATTTTGTTTACATCATTTTATAAAGAAACTAGCGACGCGCCTCGGCTTCGCACGGATGCAATGTATTATACAGCTAAACCTTCGTCTTGAATCACTCAATCTAGTAAAAAGAACGATATCAACATCCGTTGCGTAGTTTTAAAGATCTAAGCATACATAGGGACAGACAGACAGCGGGACGACTTTGTTTTATACTATGTAGTGATAGTGATTAAGAAACGTTCAAATTTTAAAAAATAAGACAGCTGGGTTTCTCCACCGTTCAATAGCTACAACATTAAATCCAAGCACATAGAAATTGCAAACATAAAACCGTGATATATTGCAAAGCAAATTGCGAAAGTAGCAAGACCTAAATACATATTGTAAAAGTTTTTGGATTGCCTTAAAATTCATTTATTTAATTAATTTTCAAAAAATTAACCATCCGTATCATAAATGGAAAACATCATCGCTTTTAGGCCGTTGAATTAAATGCGAAACGAAATAAAAACAAAAATAATGAAACAAGGGTATAATCACGAAACGTCAAAGACGAAATTTGTAAAGGACTTAATTACTCGCCATCCCGAACTAATTGAGAGAGCGTTCATTTCACAGAATAGCCAGTGCGACGGGTACAGAGGACAGAAACAAGTGGATGGGAAAAAATAGACGACAAAGATTTCATATTACAAAAATGTCGCCGAGGGGATATGGCGGTGTGGACTCCAACTATCGACACACGCCTTTCGAAATAAACTAACTGTTCCGTTGACTGCACTTGATTACAGAAGTCGATTGTGCCGAGATGCAAAAGGCCTTAATAGAAATGTTAAAACAGTTGACAGTTCTGAAATTGTTGTTTGCGGTTGCTCTTTCGTTTGCAACAAACTTTTTGATTTAATACTTAATAATATGTCACAATATACTTTCGAAGTACTATAGAAGTTTTTAAAATAAAAACTCTAATCTCAACTTGGAATTCGTTTACAATCGCCATCAGTCATAATAATTTCACACAATTTATTTTAATGAATAAAAATTTATCATCCCATTCATCCAGAGCAAAAATAAGTATATAAATATCTATTAAATAAGACTCTAAAATCCGGTAGTCGCCGTATTATTATTTGGAACAGAATAAAATATTAAAGGTCAAATGGCAAAGTTAAGAATTCCATCAAACTTCGTAATAGTAGGGCGCTAACAGAAACGAAAGACGTACTACGACTTTCATTATTCAGGGGTAGCATCTGGAATAATAATTAGCTAGTATATAATGTAAATTATCGCTGACACAAATAGAATTCAATAACCTCGTATTATTTACGATGGCATATGCAACCCCGTGAGGTTGCACCTTTAATAAAGTGTTCACCGGTCATTCACCAGACGAAACTCAGAATAATAACACTTATACTTCACACCGGTCTTCTGTGACCTCGTGGCACTTCCAGGACGGAGCTGCCCATTCGTGCAACAGCGAAAACTGTTGCGTGGTACTAGCACAGACCTAATCGTTCATCTGTTTTCTTATTACCTCTTCTCTAATCATACATAAGCTTGTCAATCGTAATAACTCCTTATCCACGCAAATATTACACATGTTAAAAAAATTAGTTTATCGCAGTTTATTCAAATTCATTCCATTTTTGTTTCAGAGAATGAATATAAGTCAATTTTTACCAACCGTCAACAGCCACATCCCTCTACAAGTGCCAGGATTCTAAGAACGTATAGCTGACATTAAGCATAACTGATCGAATAAATCTACAGTCAGCGAATACGCATAAAACAGCCCAAACAATTACCTACGTGAGCTTTGATAAACCACAAATACTGGCAAAGTAACAGCGTTACCTACTAAAGATTCGCGAGGATATTAAAATAAAGAAACATCCAAACAATAGGGAATATGGTTGGGTTCTACTATCAGGTTGAGATCCCATTCATCAATAAAATTATATCCGAACCCGACCGCACCACTTCTGTAAGACTGCATGATATTGTGTTTGCTGCGTAGATCAGAATAGAATTAATAAATTTCTAGGTGATGGTAGCCCGAGTCAACAGTGAGGCTAGGACGCTTCATATCACAGTCCAGCCCGTGACCATGTATGCTGTAAATCATTCGAAACATCGGCGGTTTAAATTAAAAATAAACCTCGATAAAATCCGTAAGTTAGATTTATTAAAATATAATAGATAATTAATAAATCGATGAAACGCACCTAATAATTTTCATTCACTAAAATTCTAAATTTCAAGCACTTTGGCTTACGTTCAGCAGTGGGCGGCAATAGGCTGATTTTGAATTGAATATTGATATTGAAAATTCTAAAACAAAGTTCATCATTTTAAGACATGGATATTGCAGATAGATTGGACACTGATTGGACGTTGGGCTTATATGTGTACACACATTCATTACTTCATTACTATCAGATTTATACAAATATATGATATAAATTTATTACAAACTTACTGCTTCGTAATAGTGAATCGTTTTGTTATTATTATTTTCGTAATATTAAATGTTAATATTAACGATTACTTTATTACATTTCGAGTTATTTGTTCTGATCGCTTTTTTATAAATAAAGTATGTAAAAGGACTTCGAACGGGAATTGCCTTCCAATTTCTACGTTTGTTTTTTCTTAATAGGCACCAAAAAAAACCAGTTTGAAACGTTCCAAATTCAAACTTTAATATACAATACCAGAGTGGTTTCATTAATAATTATGTTATCGTAACATCTTTGTTATTTACCGTACTCCAACTAGATATTACCGAACCGAGTTAAAAAGATAATGGCGTCGGAAGAATTCATAATCACGTTTATTTTACGGGCATCGTTAAGGGATGGGGCAGCAGTGTAATTGGATTCCACTGTGTTCATTAATTTTTATGGTGTCGTACTTTTATATTTTTTCCCGTCACATTAATGTTTTGTACGCGAGCTGTTTTTTTGCATTTACAAATAATCAGTGCTTAATTCTATAGACGTGATTATATAGTTACATTCTACAGATCACGAAAGTGTACGGGCATGAAGAAAAAACATTGGTTCACCATAAGTATAATTTTTGTAAAAATACTGAAATTTATTCTATGGAGAAGAATATTTCTACTCGTAATTTTTATGTCATTGGAATTCTAATTATTTAGAGATATGTTTGTACGTGCTGAAAATATGTATCATGAAATCCATACTAATATTATAAATGCGAAAGTAACTGTGTGTGTCTGTCTCGCTTTCACGCCAAAACTACTGAACCGATTTAAATGAATTTTGGTACACAGATAGTGTAGAGCCTGAGAAAGGACATAAGCTATTTTTCAATTGGAAAAAACTTAACTTTAAAATATATATACATTTATATATATAATGATATATTACATATTATATGTTGGCTTATTACAGAGTCATTATTTAATATATACATATTAAATAATGACTCTGTAATAAGGCAACGTCTTTGTCTGTGGGAAGCTGTAAACGCGTAACAATAACAAAACCTCTTGCCCATTTGATAAAATCCAAAAATTGTAACTTTTGGCGCTAAAACCCTTTTTACGACTCAGTGTATCAAAGTAATGATCATATTTACTGAAATTAAACTAACTAGCCAAGAAGTTACACTGAGCCTACCCTAAAGTTTGTTATTACCATTACTTCTCAATTAAGTGTATAAACAATAATTCCAGTCCCCGCAACGTGGTGGTAATGGTCAGCTTTATTGAATTAGGTCCTTATACCTACACGTGTTGCCATAATCGATTGCTGTTCTAGAATAGAAAGGGAGGCGTTGTATAAATAAATGACAGCTCTTGGGTACTCATTATTGGATACTTCGCAGGCATCGCATGGAATGGAACCTTATGTATAGGAGTAGCCAGAACAATGGTAATTTGATATGTATAATGATAAAACTCGGAAAACTTCACTATATACACAAAGCTAGTAATGTATTTTTTCAAAATTGAGGTATTAAATGCAAAATCAATCAATGTTATATTTCATAACGCAAAAAGTGAATTTAAAAAACAATTGCTTGTCAAATTTCAACCAAGACTTTAAAGCTCATAGACAAAGTAAATGTCAAAACAACTTAAAAGTTTTCGAATATAGAACATTCTTTGACACAACAGTGTTCGTTCAAAACGCGCTTAACACCCTAAAGTAGTTTATGAATTATTTTACTACGATATGGTAATAATTATTAACCCTTACAGTGTTAAAGTCGTTGTTGAGTGAGTGACAGCGGACACTATGTTAAACTTTATTTAATTATTTCATCGATAAGATCTTTACAAATCCTTACCCGCGCAAAATTGGAGACATGGGAGCTTGTATCTACTAAATGAAAGCGCGGACCGACAGACAGATAACGCAAAACATGGACATATGCGGATATCAGGAAATACTTTTTGAAAATCACTCTCGAAATACTTACGCTCTGTGGTAGGGCCACGCAGCTTCTACTTTTGCATTAATGGGTAGATTCGTCGGTGTAAGCACCACGGGCCACCAGAAGGCCGGTCAGAATTAAAAGAACTCTTGTGTGGCAACTGAACTTACGTTTCACATGATGTAGCAGATGCCTTGCCACCTTACTACCCCGGGCCCGGGCTACTCCACTTACCAGAATAAACGCAGAAGTATAACACTTCAACTTTACGCCGGTCTTCTGTGTGGTCGTGGTGCTTACCCGGTCAGACCTGCCCATTCGTACAACAGCTAAGACTGTTACGTAGTCCTAGTGATTCGTTATTACACAATAATTATCGATATATAACTTCACTTTA